GCAGTGTTGGGATCTTGGGCTGGTTTTTTAATCTTTCTGTTTTTCTTACCTAAGAAGAGGATGATAATAAAAAGGTTCCCCAATATTGCCTAGTCCCCAATATGTGTTGAGTAAATGTTAGCTGTTACTGCTTGAACACTTTAATACTTTTTTAAAGCTCATGTGTTGGCAAAAAGTATTTTGTTATTTACCTTTGCCACTTGAGACAGACTGACATTGTAGGAAATAATTTTTCTCAATACTAAGGGAAGAGGGATGATAAACAATTAAGAATACCTACCATGTGGCAGTAACTGCATTAGGTGGTTAGATTCATTTATTTCTCATGACACATTGAGGGAGATAGGTTGCCTTAGACCTGTTTGACTGATAGCAATGTAACTTAACCCCTTTGAACATCAGTTTCTCTGAGGCCATTTAACTACTATGTGCTTAGAGTTGGAATGTCAGCCCCTGATCTTTTTGGCTGCAAAGCTTGTGTTTCTTCTGTAATAACTCACAGAAATAATTATGAAATGACCCTCAAAAATGCAGCGTATCAAAGCTTTTTATAAAAAGAGAATTTTTTACCAAAAACACAGAAACTAACAGTTTCAAACTCTGCTGATTCTGAAGAGCTTATACAACTTCACAAGCAAACTAATTTATTCAAATAATATTTGGAAATAAAATTTTGAGCAAGACAATTTCCCGCCTTCTAGCCTACTGTTCATCTTTAAGTGCTGGAGACCATCTGATTTCCTGCCATCTGTGATATTAAGGACCCTTGACTCATTCTGAGATAAAACTGGTAAAATACCTAACCCAAGAAAGTAATTTACTCTAAGATCTATGAGAGAAAGTGGCATGTGTTTACTTATTTATTTTTGCATGTGTTTTAGAGCTTTACCACTCAAGGTATGGTCCATGGGCCCGCGTCAGCATTACTTAGAAGTTTTTAGAAATGCAGAATCTCAGGTTCAAACTCAGCTCTCTTGAATTCAGAGTCTACAGTTTCGCAGAGTCCCCAGCTTATTTGTATGCACAAATTCCAGATTTACTGCTTTAGAAGGCAAGACTGGAGAAAACTGCATGTAGCAATTACCTGAACAGTTGTGCTAATTATAAATGTTCAGAAGAGACGTATACAAAACCATAGTTTCTCTTCTTGGTGAATTTATAAACCAGTTGCCTAGTACCATAATAGAGCAGTTGAGAGCTTGGTTGTTGGAGTCCAGCTGCTTGGGTTCAAGTCCCAGCTCTCTACCTTGCTTAGATGTGTGAGTCTGGTGCATCCCTAATAAAGGGCTGTAATAAGAGCAGATGCGGTCATACGTGGTTAGTGCCTAGCATAGTGCCTGCCGCATAGTTAGCCTTCAATAAGTGTTGGTTATTTACTGTTAAAGAATCCTGAGATATATGAGAAGTTCTGTAATTTGATTAGAATTTAAATGGTTAAAATGTGGCGTGATTTGACGTTTATGAGAAAAGAGGATAGTCATAGAGTGAAGATAGGGTCTCAAGTCTTGGGTTCTAGATCTGGCTGCACCACCAAGAGGCTGTGTAACCTTGGGAAAGTTACCTAAGGCTTATCTACGTTGTCTGTAAGATGAAGATAATGATGTGGACCATGGCTACCTGATAGAATTTTCTGAGGTTCAGTTGAAATAATGTATGTGGCCCAGTGTGGTGGCTCACACCTGTTGTCCCAGCAATTTGGGAGGCTGAGGGAGGAGGATCGCTTAAGGAGTTGCAGACCAGCCTGAGCAACATAGTGAGGCCTGTCTCTACTTAAAAAATAAATAAATAAAAATAAAAATAAACTAAGCAAGCATGGTGCTATGCCTGTAGTTCCAGCTACTTGGTAGACTGAGATGGGAAGATCACTTGAGCCCATGAGTTCAGGGTTACAGTGAGATATCATCATGTCACTGCACTCCATCCTGGGCAACAGAACAAGATGCTGTTTCTAAAAAAGAAAAAGAAAACAATAAATGTAAAAGTATGTTGTATACTCTAAGGCAGCAAGTGGGAACTGCTATTCTCAGACCCCTTTGTATGGGGGGCTGGAGTTTAATTACCTTTATAAGGTGAGCTATGTGAAAGACCAGGCCAAAGTCAGTTATTTCTATATCATTGTTATGATAAACGGGTTGAAATAAAATGGCAAGAAAGCGTAAGCATCAAAAATAAATTGTACAAGGTGTTTTGTCCCATGTACCTGATGCTTGCTGGTTTCTGACTGTGTCCTAATTGTGATCAGTGTCATTCCTCATAATGCAAATTGTATTCCCTTCAGTATTCAATTCCGTTATACACAAATTGTATTGTAAAAACTGGGCTATAAAAGAAATACCTGGACTTCATAGAAATCTGCTCTGCCTCTGGAACTGCTGCTGGAAGTATGCAGCGTCAGATGTACAATCCATTGTTTCGGGAGGACATTGCTAATAATCCATTTTACCTTTCTTTCTAGCCCTATTTTTACTTTTGGTGGAGAGTTGTAATAAACAGATTAATTGAAATATCAATCTAGGCAATATTTACTGGCAAATATTGAAAGCATATTTGTCAAATGATGAATAGGGTAGATGTTGAAATAAAGGTCGCTCTAGAAGGTAAGCTATGATAGCATTAAAAAGTTGCCTCAAAGAATTGCAGGAGAAATCCTCTTATTTTAGTGATACTGATCTAGTAGTTTATTGGTAAATCAAAAGTCTTGCTGAAGGGATTATTAAAATTACATGTATTTTTTTTTCTGGCCAGGCACAGTGGCTCATGCCTGTAATCCTAGCACTTTGGGAGGCCAAGGTGGGCAGATTGAGCTCAGTAGTTCAAGACCAGCCTGGGCAATGTGACAAAACCCTGTCTCCACTAAAAATACAAAAATTAGCTGGGCGTGGTGGCTCGCATCTGTAGTCCCAGCTACTTGGGAGGCTGAGGCAGGAGGATTGCTTGAACCCAGGAGGTTGAGGCTGTAGTGAGCTGAGATGGTGTCACTGCACTCCAGCCTGGGCAACACAGCAAGACCCTGTCTCAAAAAAAATTACATGTATTTTTTTTTTAATTAAAAAAAATGTTTTTTAGAAATGGAGGTCTTGCTGTGTTGCCCAGGCTGGAGTGCAGCGGATGTTAATAGGTGTGATCATAGCATATTATAGACTCAAACCCCTGGACTCAAGCAATCCTCCTGTCTCACAGCCTTCTGAGTAGCTGAGAGTTCAGGCGTATATCACTGTGCCTGCCTTACACTTACTTATAGTAAATTTTATCTTACAAAAGTAAATACACTGATTCATTAATTATTTGATGTGTATCTAAAGCTTTTTCAGTGTGATCAGTGAAGAAAGTTTTACCTTACCTTTCTTGTATGACCTACATCTACAATATAGACTTCATAATTCCTAGTTTCAGTTCTTTGAAATAAATGGAGGCGGGTGTGGTGGCTTATGCCAGTAATCCCAGCACTTTCAGAGACTGAGGCAGGTGGATCACTTGAGGTCAGGAGTTCAAGACCAGCCTGGGTAACACGGTGAAAGCCCATTTCTACTAAAAATATGAAAATTATCCAGGCGTGTTGCAGTGAGTGCTTGTAGTTCCAGCTACTTGGGAGACTGAGGCAGGAGGATCACTTTGACCCTGGAGGCGGAGGTTGCAGTGACCTGAGATTGCACCACCTCACTCCAGCCTTGGCAAAACAGTGAGAGTTTTTCAAAGAGAGAAAGAAGAGAGAGGAGAGAGAAAGAAGAGAGAGAAAAGACAGAAGAGCGAGAGAGAAAAGACAGAAGACAGCAGAGAGAGAAGAAAGAAGAAAGAGAAAAGAAAGAGGAAAGAAAGAAAGAAATGGAGACCATAGATACCTGTGAGCCAGTCTGAGGACAGAATCCATTTAGATTTTATCAGACCCCCATCCCCCTAAATGTAAGATATCTTGACAACATTTAAGCCAATAGCAGTTTATTCTAGTAATTTATCTTTATGGAGCTTTTCCAAATAATTCCAGTTAATTTCTATTGAAAAACTTCATTTTTATATTCATGTTTTCTCAATTTATATAATAATTAAATCACAAAATGTTGTCAAGAACAACTGGTGTAAACAGGTTTGGGAGGAAACAGAACTGACTCTTGGTATATATTAAACTCAGCTAGTAGAAGTGGGTGTGTTTGGGTATCAGAAAGTAGTCTGTGAGTCTTGGGCATCCAGTGTCCTTCAGCCAGAATGTTTCACAGAAGGAATAGAGAGCATTGTGGAAAGAGAATCAGCGAGGTTTTATTGCAGCATTTGTTTTGGCAATTGGCTGTAAAGATATCTGGCACGAAGGGAGGTACTGTGGTTTTTAGTTTGTGGAGCTTTCTTGCTTAACATCTTGTGAAGAGTAACTTAAGGTCATTTGGCAAACGTGTTATTTCACAACATAAAAGCTTCTATTCTCATGGGGCAAGAAGCAAGAACACATTTTTCTTTGCCACTGAATGTCTCTCACTCTGTTTTAGAATTGTGTTTAATACATAAAATCTGCACTGATTCTGGACTTCAGTGAAAGAGATTCTGTAAGGTTGATTGGGGATAGAAATGAGGCAGTCGTCTAGTAATTTTCAAAGTGCTACTGAATTATGTAACAGTCTTTGTAAAACCAAAGGAACCAAATTTTAGAGCAAATAAAACTTTAAGTTTAATTTTGTTCATGTTTTTAAATGAATGTCTTTTTGCTTTTTTGTTCAAAGAGCATTTCGACAGAGAACATAATTGAAGTGTATGGAAGTGTGTACAGAATATATTGACTTCTTAAAAACAGAGGTTGTGGCTGGGCATGGTGGCTCACACCTGTAATCCCAGCACTTTGGGAGACCAAGGTGGACGGATCACCTGAAGTCGGGAGTTGGAGACCAGCCTGACCAACATGGAGAAACCCCGTCTCTACTAAAAATACAAAATTAGCCTGGGATGGTGGCACATGCCAGTAACCACAGCTACTTGGGAGGCTGAGGCAAGAGAATTGCTTGAATCTGGGAACCAAAGGTTGTGATGAGCTGAAATCGCGCCACGTACTCCAGCCTGGGCAACAAGAGTGAAACTCCATCTAAAAAAGTAATAACAGAGGTTGTTTTCCCCCTCTCCTAGTTTCCAGCATTTAATGGGAAGTTTAAATATGTATGAAATTTAAAAAAAATTTTTTTTAAAGAAAGAAAACAATTTATATACTTCAAGTCATGCATATTCTTGCCATTTCAGAAAGGTCAAGATAAAGTATTGTATACTACTGTCACTCTGTTAATGAAGAGAATATATGCTGTACTTTGACAGAGGATTGGAATTAGAGGCAGAAGCCAAAACGTCAGACCCTGGCCTGATTGATGTCTGGTGCAGCATTTAATTATTCTGAACCTCAGTTTTTCCTGTGAAATGTTGGCAATAGGTCTCTTCCGGTCACAAAATGGAAACAGTAATACCTACCTCGTAGGGCTATTGTCAGGATTCAGTGAGATATAACACATTAAAAGCAATTAAGAAAAGAGATAATCATTTTATACTAAAAAAAATTTTTTATAAAATAAGAAAAAAATAAAAATAAAACCTGTTAAGAACCACTTAGCACTCTGTCACAGAGTATTTGATAAATTATTTTTAAAATGCAGAGGTGAATGAATGCTCCAGGCCATTACCCTTGAGCCTGACACTTCTGTTTATGTTGGGCTTAATGTCCTCTTGCAGAATAATAGCACTTTCAGACATGTTGTTCAAACCTGTTTCCTTCCATGTCCTACCTGATGCCTCAAAATAGAGTGAAATTATAGCTAAGGGAATAATAGCCAGTTACTTGCACCTTGCCTTTTGTTGCCTGGTGAGCTGCTGGCAGTTAATGTGCTGTGAGTGTCCTGTGGAGCCCTATGTGGGAACTTTCTCCAGCTGAAATACAGGAGAGCGGCACTGAAAAGGCTGGCCAGGCTCCTTTCTTCCCTCCCTTCCATTCTCAGCAGTGTGATTGTGGCTACACAGTGCTCCCAGTTCCAGTAGCTGGCACCTGCTCTTAAAGGGAAGGCTTCTCTGGGTTGGCAGTGCCCCTGCACCTACTGCCCTGCTTGTCACCAGCTGTCCCACCATATCTCGGGCATCAGACCTCCTGGGTGATTTTTATTTTGGTATTGTTCTGTTTTTAGTGTGGCTAACTATATCATGAAGAAATGCTCCCAATGGAGTTGTTTGCTAGTCCTTTCATGTGTCTCCCACAACACATCCCAGCTACATAGAAGGGAGGGAAAATATTATTTACAACATTTATGCAACTTTTATTTCTGGTAAGGGTAACCAACCAGCATAAAGAATTTGCAGTGAATGATGGGTCTGGGGAAGCATCCTGGTCAGCTTCTCTGAGCCCATGGAATACTGGACTCTTCACATCATACATTGGCACAGCCAATTAGAACCTCTGCATGCCCCAGAAAAGACTAGAGTGAACCCACTTCTTGCCTAAGGCTGGACTCTCCCACACCCCTGGCATTTCTGTGGAGAGAAGGACTATTGAATTAATTCCTTTGGAAGTCTAGGAAAGTAGCATTTTTAATGCTTTATTTTATTCCACAAGAAGCTTGAAATGGAAAATGTGTCTCTAGATATGGTATCAAAAGCTCCAGTGAAGTTTTACTAGTAATTATTGATTAGAATTTTATGTGATTCTGGGCAGGGTGCAGTGGCTCACACCTGTAATCCCAGCACTTTGGGAGGCCAAGGCAGGTGGATCACCAGAGGTCAGGAGTTTGAGACCAGCCTGGCCAACATGTTGAAACCTTCCATCTCTACTAAAAAATACAAAGATTAGCCAGGTGTGGTGGCTCATACCTGTAATCATAGCTTCTCAGAAGGCTAAGGTAGGAGAATTGCTTGAACCTGGGAGGCGGAGGGTGCAGTGAGCCAGGATTGCACCATTTCACTCCAGTCTGGGGGACAGAGAGGCTCCATCTAAAAAAAAAAAAAAAAAAAAAAAAAAAAAAATTATATGGCTCTGGTTAAAATGCAAAGACCATGAAATGAGGTGCTATGCACAATATTAAGATTGTTATTGTAATACAGCTTATTCAGCTTACATTTTGCATTAGTTTGTACCATATATGAAGTCACATATGTTCACCAAAGTGTAGAAAGCATCAAAAATAATATACGTTGATTTTATAAGAGCAGGAGGAAAAACGGGACAATGAGTGCAGCATCTACAAGATGTGGACCCTGTGAACCTTCAGGATATTAGCCTTCAGTAAGTAACAAAGCCCAGTGAGAAAAACACACATTTGAAAGCACTTGTGACATACAATGATTTTTTATTTTTACTTATTTATATATATATTTTAAATAGTCTTACTGTCACCCAGGTGGGAGTGCGGTGACACGATGTTGGTTTACTGCAACCTCCGCCTCCCGGGTTCATGCGATTCTCCTGCCTTAGCCTCCCGAGTAGCTGGAATTACAGACACCCACCACCATGCCCAGCTAATGTTTTTATCTTTAGTAGAGATGGAGTTTCACCATGTTGGCCAGGCTGGTCTTGAACTCCAAACCTCAGGTGATCTGCCCGCCTTAGCCTCCCCAAAGTGCTGGGATGACAGGTGTGAGCCACCGTGCCCGGCCTGATTTTTTAATTCTGTATGCACTATAGAGAAGTGAAAGCTCAATAACTGGTTCAAAACAATAAATTGCTCATATACTGCCCTGAGAGAAACTGAATGCTGACTTAGATTTTATTTTTTGGAGTGACTTTAGTTGATGGTTAAGATACAACCAAAAATACACATTATTGTTCAAAGAATTTTTAAAAAATCCTACCTCTTTTATTTACAAAGAAAAAATAGTCCTTATTATGCTGGTGCTTGAATATACAAAATGGTGCTTTAAGTGAAATAGGCTTAAGGAACAAATTCAAGGCCAGTATCATCCATTTGTGAGTATGAATAATGAGCTTGGCAAATGCTTTAAGATGTTAAACAAAATACTGTGAGAACAAAGGAATGACTCACTCTGACTGTGAGAGGATCTTCTCTCTTCTCCAGAGTTGGAACATTTAAAGCAAGGCTTTAACAAGTGAGCAGGACTTCAATTGTTGAAGGAGTAAATGAGAATTTTATTGCTCTAAGCAAACGTATTGAGCTGCGTGAAAGTCCATGGAGTACTTGGCCACTATTGAAGGATGCGCCATTGCAGAACCCATTATTGCTATGCATACTCTTTTGCCTTTGAGTATGGAGGTGGGGAAGGAATTGGTGACAGAATGAATCTTGTATGGGAGGCCAGAACCAGAGGGCGAGGGACCTTCTGTGTGGTACTGAAGACAGTGAGAAGCCTTGGGAGTGCTTGATATGACCTGATATCCCTGTCACAGGGCCTGCCAGCCTTGACACCTATTTGCGCACCATCCCCTATTTGACAAACTTTTTTTTTGGAGGTCAGGGACAGTCTCACTCTGTCACCTAGGCTGGAGTGCGGTGGTACAATCACAACTCAATACAACCTCAACCTCCTGGGCTCCAGCAATCTACCCACCTCAGCTTCCCGAGTAGCTGGGACTACATGCATGTGCCACCACATCCAGCTAATTTTTAAATAATTTTTTAGTAGAGATGGGGTTTTGCCATGTTGCCTAGGGTTTTGCCAGGTTGCCCAGGCTGATCTTGAACTCTTGGGCTCAAGTGATCCTCCTTGCCTCAGCCTCCCAAAGTACAGGATTACAGGTGTGAACCACTACACCCAACCACAAACTCTTATATGTATATTAAGTCTGTATTAGGACACTTTCCATCAGAAAAACAGGCACAAACTGGTTTGAGGAGAAAATAGAGGTGCTTATTGGCTGATGCTAGATCTAGCTGTGCTAGAGAACCAGGGGGCCCAAGTGCTTCGTCATCAGGACTCAGTGTGTTTCCTGTGGCTGTCTGTTTCCTTACGACCCTAGCAGCTTTAGGCCAGTTCTGACATAGCTCCAGGTTCCATTCCATCCCTTCCAGCAAGCATGTCTGAATGAGCTTTCACAACAGGGCATAATTTCAGAATCAAACTGTGTAATTGGAAACTTGGTGCTCTACTGGCACTGATCAAAGGCTGTCCTGGATTGAGTGGAGAGGAGTGGTTCCCCAATGAAAAAGTGTGTTCTGTTATCAGAAAAGTGGGGACCTAGATGCTGAGTGACAAAAACCAACTTGCAACATAGGCCTGGTTCATAAGGGCTCCTCATCCTTAGTCTTTCCGGTAATATATTTGTCACTATTTCTCTTCACTTGCTGAAGAATATTGACCAGAGTGTCCTTTAGTTACTGTTTCCTGCTCCACTAGACTGTGAGCCCCTTGAAATCCAGGATTGAATCCTTCACGTCAACACATTAACATAGATTTTGTATCAAGAACCTTGCTATGTACTAGGTATGAAAAGATAAACCAGATCAGAACCTGATCTCTTAAGGTACTTACCTTGATGAGGGACTTGGGTCATAAGTGTGATTTAAGTACTCTAGTGTACTTGTGAGACTTCATATCTGGACACTTCATTTTACAAAGATTTAAATTTTTAGATCCAGTATCAATTTCTGTGGGAGATATTGCTGTGTATTTTATTTTCTTGCTTTGATTTTTTTAGAAGCAAGCTTTTAATATTATTACCATGTGCCTTTAACCACCTAAAGGAAGCTAATGAACTATTTGTTGAAGCCTCCACTAGACAAGTATATAGAAATGGAAGTGGGGTTATGGGTTTTTGTTTTATTTTTGCCTTTCTTGTGGTAGGAAGCTTATTTTTAAAAATTTTACCCTTTATGAGCTTTATTGGAGTATAATTTTACATGCAATAGAATGTACCAATCTTCACTACATAATTAAACATAGTGTGTATAGTGATGTGACCATCCCTAAAATTCATGATTTAGAACATTAGAAAGCTTATTTTTATAAGAAATACACAATGTGAATGTACTTTCTCATCTGAGTAACAGTATCTGCTTGGGTGTGGTGGCTAATGCCGGTAAACCCAGAACTTTGGGAGCCCCAGGTGGATGGATCACTTGAGCCTAGGAGTTCAGGACTAGCCCAGGCAACATGTGGAAAAAAAATACAAAAATTAGCCCGGTGTGATGGCACACACCTGTGGTCCCAGCTACTCAGGAAGCTGAGGTAGGAGGATAGCTTGAGCCCAGAGGCAGAGGTTGCTGTGAGCCATGATTGTGCCACTGCGCTCCAGCCTGGGCAACAGAACAAGACCCTGGCTCCCAAAAATAAAAAGGAATAACAGTAGGTCATGAAAATGACTCAGAATGAATTCAGAAGGTTCAACTCACCGGCATTAACAACATACAGATAAGAATATGTTCCATAATTTTCTTCTGGATCAAACATGTATTTTGCTTCTGTATACAAGCTGAAGTAGATAATTAGTTCATATGAACTGTAGAGTTGGAATATGTGTTTCAAGAGATTTGGTTTTTGTATGCAGCAAAGCATTACTTTATGAAAGAAAGAGAGCGATCATATTGATATTTTATAAGTGAATAAATTACTTGTATCCTGTCTGAACATATGTCTGACAGTGACCGTGGAAATGTGGTTTTTGGGAGGCCTCTTTGGAGGGTCAGGAATAGCAAGAGGGTGATGGGCTGTCTGGTGACTGCCAGCAGGTGTTGAGAAAGGCTTGTAGTCATCATGAGTAAAACTCCTGAGACATCATGGGGGTAGCTTATGGTGGGCATTGTACATCAGGAAGATTGGGATTTCTGAGTTTTTACCCTAGTAGCAATAGGAAGAGGGCAGAGGCAATACTGCAGATGGGTGGATAGAGGTCCATTGAGGAAAACAGACAGCCCTACAGCAAGGTTGGAAACATGGGAATTGATATCGTGAATTAAATAATCTGTACAAAAGTAAGGCAGGAAGGAAGAAGGGGACTAAGACTGAGCCTTGAAGAATTCCATCAGTAATGGCCAGAGGGAGGAGGCTAGGAGGGAGAGGAGTGGCCTGGGTAGTCAGGGAAAGACAGATGAATGCGAAGTAAAAGTCAAGGAAAAAGAGTCTTTTAGGAGGTAAATGGACATATTCTGCCAAGCAGACATTGTAAGGTGAGAACTGAGACACACCCATTGGACTTGACTCAAGTGGAGATTGCTGTGATCAGGACCGTTTGCAAAGGATGATGGTGCAGAAGCCACGTTAGATGTTTGTTGAGGTGGGACAAATTCGAGAAATACGGTTATTGCAGATGATTCCATCAAGAAGTAAAAACAGACAAGATCCCGAGAAGGCAGGAGAAGGTGGATTTCACACCACACCTCAGGGAGGGCACACGGACCCTGTGTAACAAGAAGGAAAGTGTAAAGACCAGGGATGTAGGTGGTGGGCGTCATGGCTCATGCCCATAATCTTGGCACTTTGTGAGGCTGAGGTGGGTGGCTTGCTTGATTCCAGGAGTTTGAAACCAGCTAGGGCAACATGGTGAGGACCGTCTCTACCAAAAAATAAGTAAATAAATAGCTGGGCCTGGGGGCGTATGCCTGTAGTTCCAGCTACTCCAAAGGCTGAGGTGGGAGGATTAGTTAATCCCCAAGGTTGAGGCTGCAGTGAGCTATGATCATGCCACGGCACCTGCAGCCTGGAAAATAGACTGAGACTCTGACACACATGCACACACACACACACATGTACACACAAAAAAAGAATATGTATGTATATAGGTTTTAGGGAGTTACTTTTTTTTTTCTTTTCTTTTCTGTTTTTTTTTTAGACAGAGTCTTTCTCTGCTGCCCTGGCTGGAGTGCAGTGGTGTGATCACTGCAGCCTTGACCTCCTGTGGTCAAGCAGTCCTCCCACCAGTCTTCCCAGTAGCTGAGACCACAGGTGTGCGCCACCGCACTTGGCTTATTTACTTATTGTAGAGACAAGGTCTTGCTCTGTTACCCAGGCTGGTCTTCAACTCCTGAACTCAAACAATCTGCCTTCCTTGGCCCTTCAAAGTGTTGAGTATACAGGCTTGAACCACTGCACACAGCTAGGAGTTACTGTTTTCTCGTGTGTATGTATAAATCCAAACTCAAACATTGTGATGGAAAATACATTTCTGCATTAGCTGTTTTAGTATTTCTCACCTTTTTTTTTGTTATTGCCCTTCAAGGAGAAAAGATAAATTTAAATGGGTTATATATTTATTAACTAAAAATCTTTAATTTTTTTTTTAATTTTACATTTTTGAGATTATGATTTTTTTTTTTTTTGAAACAAGGTCTCTGTCACCCAGGCCAGAGTGCAGTGATGTGATCACAGCTCATGGCAGCTTTAACCTCCCAGGCTCAAGCAATCCTCCCACCTCAGCTCCCACCCAGCATCCCCTTCTCCGAGTAGCTGGGACTACAAGCGTGTACGACTGTGCCCAGCTAAGTTTGTATTTTTTGTAGAGATGGTTTTTGTTTGTTTGTTTGTTTGTTTTGAGACGGTGTCTCACTCTGTTGCCCAGACAGGAGTGCAGTGGCTTGATTTTGGCTCACTGCAACCTCCGCCTCCTGGGTTCAACTGATTCTCATGCCACACCTCCCCAGTAGCTAGGATTACAGGCATGCGCCACCAAGCTTGGCAAATGTTTATATTTTTAGTAGAGACAGGGTTTCACTATGTTGGCTGGGCTGGTCTCAAACTTCTGACCTCAAGTGATCTGCCCTCTTCAGCCTCCTAGAGTGCTGAGATGACAGCACTGCCACAAGCCACTGCTCCCAGCAGAGATGGAGGTTCACCATGCTGCCTGAGCTGGTCTTGAACTGTGAACGCTCTGAGCTCAAGTGGTCTACCTGCCTTTGCCTCCCAAAGTGCTGGGATTACATGCATGAGCCACTGTGCCTGGCCTAGAATCTTTTAATTTTATTCTAATGAGGTAAATAGTAAGGAATATAATTTTGTCAGGGTTGAACTTTGGAGGACCACAAATCATTGTAATATCTATGATGTTGTGCCCCATTTATTATTAATTTGCTAAGGCTACCATAATACAATACTATGTATTGGGTAGCTTAAGCAACAGAAATCTATTTTCTCACAGTTTTGGAGATGAGAAATTCAAGATAAAGATGTCAGCAGGTTTGATTTCTCTGGAGGCACTTCTCCTTTCTGGCTGTGTGTTCACATGACTTTTCCTCTAGGGATGCACACTCTGGTATCTGTCCACTTTTTCTTCTCTTGTGAGGACACTGGTTACATTGGATTATGGCCTCATTTAACCTTAATCACCCTTTTGAAGACCGTATCTCTAAATACAGTCACATTCTGCTGTCCTAGATGGTAGGGCTTCAACATATTTATTTTAGGGGTCTGTAATTTAGTCTATAACACCTCCCAATAAGTTATTTTGGCCCCCTTCTGCCGCAGAGGCACACTGCCCCTTTCAGAATGCATCAGCTAATTGATAATGGTTACTCTCTATTTTGCTGACTGGATAGAGTATTGGGGATATAAAATTGCATTTCTTAATATATGTTGGGTACCATACCAGTCTCCAGGAATATAAACGTTTCGAAGGAATTCTTCAACATATAACCAAAATGCTATAATATAATGATAAATATACTCCTAACAGACTGAGATATTCATTAACCGTTTCTGGAATGAATAACTGAAGTGGTAGTGACTAATTCTGCTAAAAGAAAGTAAAAACTGCACAGGAAAGGTGGCATTTGTCAGGGTGGGTGAATTTGGTTTTTGAATATAGAACTGTGATCCGGCCACTGCACTCCAGATGGGGTGACAGCGAGACACCATCTCAAAAAAAAAAAAAAAGGAAAAAAAAAATCCTAGCAAGCAAAAAAAAAAAAAAAAAAAACTGAAGGTGCCTCAGGTACGGAGGAGTGAAAATGCCAGGCTTGTTGGAAGAATCATGAATAACATAGTGTTTAGAAACTTTAGGGAGTATGTTGAGAAGAAGAAATAGATGTGGAGCGATATTCTGAAGGATGTTGAATACAAGTTCGCTGAGGGATCTAATTTTTTTTTCTGTGAGCAATGAGGAGTTAACAAAGTGAGTAAGAAGAGTGTGACACTCCAGGAGACCATGTCAAATGCTTATATTGTACCCTCCAGAAGAACAGACACCGCATCAAAGGGAGTGCCATTCCCATCCTAGACACAGGCTAACACGAAAGTGGCTGGAGTAGAGATTTCAGGCTTCTCCGTTGAATCCTGGAGCTGCAGAGGAGAGGTCTTCCTTCATCAATTCCACCAGCCCAACCCTCTATGCACATACACCACCTTATGGCACACATACATGTGTCTGCTGCACCATTGCATCTACCTTCTGGATGTCCCCAAAGGTGGCTTCTCTTGTCACTTCTCTGACACTCTTAGATTCCTAATCACTGTCTCTCACTTACTTTGAAACCTGACACAGTCACCTCGTTTAGAAGGCATGAGCCAGTGAAATGTGCACACTTACAACACATGTGCCCTGGCATGTGGTGGGGGTATTGTGAAAAGCTGAGAGTGTGGGCTTCTCTTTATGAAGGTAAAGCTATAATATTTGACCGCTTCTTTGAGCAGGGCTTTCATGGTGTGCAATAATACAATAAATAATTAAAATCTTCATTGATGAAGAGAGGCCTTTTTCCAGTTTGCATGAAGGTACATTGAATTGGTCATGACAGTGAAACTGATGTGATCAGGAAAGTGTTTTTATAAAAATAATGCTAGTGGCAAAAATGGAATTTGGATTAGATAGGAGCTGGGACAGTGAGAGGGGAGGTGGTCAAGAGAACATGTTTTCATATGTTCCGCTTTGCTTGAATGAGAATCCCTGGGCACGTGACTTAGGAATGAGAGATTCATAAAACACACAGTGATCCATCATATAAAAGGTAATAAACAAGTGTGACTTCTTTTTCCCTTTTCTTTTTCTTTACTCTTTTGTTTGCAAACCCTCTTTGATGACTTTTTTTTTCTTTGGTGAGACGGGGTCTTAGTCAGTGGTCCAGGCTGGAGTGCAGTGGTGTCATCAGTGCTCACTGCAGCCTTGTCCTCCCA